TACGGACGGGCAATACGGGTAGGGCAGCTCACCAAAAGCCAGGCAGTTCCTAGGGCAGGTATCTCACTCCTATATATATGGGAGTGGGTCTTTTTTTTTATGACTTACAAATTATCCATTCTTTACTTTGGAAAATTGAACAAACACATACTGACTTAAGCATCGGAGGCACTTCACCGAAAAACCCCTCCGGTGTGAGAGTTCTATGTAGGTGCGCGGCGTTCTACCGGCAAGGAAGAGAGAGGCGGACCGATTTCAAGCCGGTCGGAGTGTTTTGCGTTACCAATATTAATAGGGATGGACATTCCGTCAATTGGTGGTTTAGAAAATATTGGGGTCTGCCAATCACCACCGACCCACAACCACTCCTCTTGAAAACCATGAAGAGATTCAGGGATCTCGGTGATTAAGTCACCAACTTTCAATCCCCCTTGAGGCCTCCCCGAACAAGTGAAACAAATCAACGGGTCAGCCGCTTGCCTATCAGCACATCTCCTAAAAGTAAAGAGACTCCTTATCTCTTCAGCAGTTGGCATATCCCATCCATGTTCTTTCACATGAACCATGAGGCCTATAATTCTCTTCCAAATATTCGGCGCAATTTGGCACAAACCAAGACCCCAATCTCTCGAGTAGTCGGTGATCAAAGTGGGTAATGAAAACCTTAATCCCGACCTCACCGAATCGGAAAAAACACTGACACACCCCGGTGGAGGACATGTAATCCTTTCTCCGGGATATGGAGAAAATAATCTAACGGTCGAAGGAACTTGAATCTCATCACGAAGTAGAACGATGTCGGCATCGGTTAAAATACTTGGTTCACCCCGATTTTCGTCAATCGCGGCTCAAGACACTGATGTTCCGCCCGTCTCCAGTACTCCGCCAAGGACATCGCATCTTTTTCGACCTTCTTATCTTCTTCAACTATATTTTTATTCAAATTGAGGCTTTCAACAAGGAGAGGATCCCACCGATAATACTCTAGAGGCAATTCTAAGTCCTCATCGTAAAAAATCCTATCCTCAGAAATTGTGCGACTACTGCTAACCTCGGCTCAAGAAACCATCTTTTCTAAGTCGATAAAGAAAGGGAAATAAATTCTAATCGACAAATATCGAAAAAACGCAAATTAGGGCAAACACTTACCAAGGATGTCAAAGAGCCCTAAATTGAGGAAGATGCGAGAATGATTGCGCTAAATGAAAACCAAAGGGAATTTGAAGGATTTTGAGCACAGAAACTTAAAGCAAGAAAAAAGAGTACAAGAATTAAAGGTAAAAAATTCTTCACAGTCAAAACCGACTACAATTTACAGGTTTTGATTTATGACCGTTGGACAAACCCGAAATCGACGCGTGTAACGGACGTGTCCTTAAATGGCGCAACATTAAAGTAATCATTAATACACATGGGCTAATCTCAAAACGCCATGTCGCCCCATTATTCTATCTGTTACGCCCATTAAATACGGACACGTCTTTTAAGAACAGCCACATTAGCCAAGCCGTTGCACAATGTTGTTTCTCTATCAGAAAAATTGGTGACAAAACCAAGTGTTCTCACGTTGGTTACCAAGTAAAAAGAAATCGGCAAACAATCAAGTCGGAATTGCTGAAAATATTAACACCATCAGCAGCCATTTTGAAAGCTCAAATATCTACTAATGTCGGGGACCTCTCTGTTGATGACCGACTTGATTTCTTATGATTAATTAAAAACGGATCATCTTATCTTGTTAATGACCCTTTGGAGTTGTCATTTAATAGTCAAACTTATCTCAAGTCGGTACAGCTGAACAACTACTGACTTCTGGACGGCTTAAAAGAACCGACTAACCATTAACGTCTCAAAACCGACTTCCCCGACTTCACAGACATTTACATTAAAGATTATCCATTTATCCAAGATCCGAGAAGATCGAATTTCCAAGCAGGATATGCTGTAAGCTTTCAATTGGACCATCAAGTCAAAGAATAATCATTGATGCTCCCTCATTACATTACACGCCGCTTTATTGAAACAGCTCAACATTAAATGCGATCTAATCTACCTCGAACAAAAAGACAAAACAAACCGTACTATAAATAGTAGAATTTAAGACTGTACGGGGATCTTTTTTGGGCACATTGTACACGGACTTAAAAATCATCTCGGTTACGAACAGAAAACCGACTTCCTGTACTCTTGTGAAACGATCAATAAGCACGCAAATTTAAGTTTATTCTGTTTTTGACACATCTTGCTGTTTGTTTATTTGAGTTGTTAATTTCATACAACTACATTAGTAAACTAAAATTCTTAATCCTTGCATACTAAGATCCATGGAAATATAATGGATCAGTTTCACAAATTTATTGAATTAATCTAGCAAATAAATAAATCAAATATTGTTCTTGAATATGCGTTTGGAAAAAAAACAGTCTGGTTCTGATTCATTGTTATATATATATATATATAGAGAGAGAGAGAGAGAGAGAATGAATCATATGAGTAAGAAGGATAGTGAAGGAAATGAGAATAAATCTGAATGTTTTAATACATCATATCAATGTTTAGGATTAAGTCAATCAATAATGGCAACATCGTAATTTAACATACACATTGTGGTCAAATATACATATTTGACCACTTAGAAGAGTAAAACGGACAATACACAAATTCTTACAACTCATCTACTCAGTGGGCCCCACCACCTCCACCATAATTAACACTCTCTTTTCTCTCTCTCTCTCTCTCTCTCTCTCTCTCTCTCTCTCTCTCACACACACACACACACACAAAAGATCTGAAAGTCTATCGAGTTGCCTACCACCAAAAAAGAAGCCCGCCGCCACCCACTGCCATTCGCGGTCGTCCGATGCCACCCGTCGCCTCTCCCCGCCGCCCTCTACCACCCGCCGCATCTCTCTCGCACCAGAGCTCTATTTCCTCTGCAGTCGGTCACTGCCAAAAAATTCGGCTCTCCCGGCGTCGGCCACGTCCTCCAACTGCCGACGAGCTCGATGATATCACGGCCAATGTCAATATCGATCTGTACGTCCCGTTCGTCGTCAATCGTTCCCTACACTCAATCCGAGCCGACATGAAAAATTCGGTTAGACGGTGGAAGGAAGCCAGCGACGAAGCTGCCGGCCTACTTCGAAGCTACCTCCGAATTCGACATCTCACTGTAAATCTTCTCCCCGTCCGCCGGCGCTTTCATTCTCCTTGCAGCACATACCGATTAGGTGAGAAATTTCGGTTCCCATCTCGCTTCAGGCCGCCGCCGCGGCCGCCGGGCTCGGTCAAGTGGTCGTCGGCACGTACTGATGGTCGCATACGTCAGCAGTTGCAACGGGTTTCTGGTGAATGATGAAAGCCTGAGGTCTGTTAGGAGTTTCAATTTGAGGGCTTGTGTTTGTAAATTAGATTAGTGATAGGGGCTTATGTGTAAATTGATAAAGTTTTGTTTCAATTTGAGCCTGGCTGTGGTTAGTTGCTTATCCGAGCTTCTAAGATGTTGAATAATGGTTGAAATTCTTGATATGAGCCATTAGTATATAAATGTAATTGCTTTTTTTTTAGCTACTCTTTTATTGATTTGGCAATGATGATTTGTTGCACAGCTTAGTGCCCTTTATGCTTCAGAAAATTATCGATTGATATGCATTGATATATAAAGTGCAATATTGGAATTCTGGTATTTTAATAAGATTGCTTTTTTTCTTTTTCTTTTTTTTTTGTGGAATGTGTTGATATAGTGCAACGTGTTCTGTTATAGAGTGCAGTGTGATGTTTTGTAAAGGAAAACATTTTGATTTATAAATTTCACTAATTTATACCTTACTAGATAAATTATGTGTTCTCGAAAAAATATTTTTAATAGAAATAATTGGACATTGAATTAACTTAAATAAATAAAATATCGTTTGATTTTATTGCAATCTGATAGACATTTATGTGCAATCCGTATAACCCTAGTGTGCACATACAAAATATAAAAATAATATTTTTTCATAGAGTTCGACTTGTTTGGATATTTTATTTATTTAAAAAAAAAAACTAAATCCGTCATTAACCAACTAATATTATTCGATCGATTATTAGAATTATTGTAATTTTGGTACGTGCAACACGTTGTGTTATAAAGTGCAATGTATTGTTGTATAAAGTGCAATGTATTTATGTATAAAGTGTAATACTGAAATTCTGATATGTTAACATGCTTTTGTTCTTTTGTCGGATATATGATGTGGTGGATAGTAAATTATTAGGTCGATCCGTTTTTTATATTTATATTGTGTAATATTTTGTCGAGAGTTGTTGACATTAATCGTAAAGAGCGATGATAAAGTGCAACATGATGTTTTATCAAGTGCGACGTGTTATTTTATAAAGTGCAATATTATATTATATTGAATGTATAAATATTAGTATATTTTAATGTACATTTCTACACTTATGTGCATTTCATATAATATTTAATATGTTTATTATATAATATTGCATTTAACATTTAATATATTGATATTTGTTAATGTGCACTTCTAGTTTCTACACTCAATAATAAATACTGCCCACCTACTCAGCCTATTCTGCTTTACCAAAGTCTACTCTTTTTTTGGGAGCAGAGCATCCAGCAAAATTGAGCTATACATTATTATTCAATCATTAATAATTTGGTAAATTGCAAAATTACCCAAGTCTCATAATGCAATATACAAAACTTAAAAAATTGCATATAGGTCCCTATTGTTTATCTAATTTACACAAAAAAAACCCCACAATATTCTCCATCTACTCTTCCATATCCATCAACAATGTTGCTGCCGCTTCACAGGGAGAAGATAAAAGTGGTGGCGTCGAACTCGGCGGCACCCTACAACAGCCTATTTCGTTGATCGAAGCCATAAATGGCTAGGAACTCAATGGCCGTGAAAATTTCTCAGCCCCCCGCCGCGGTAGTGTCGGGTCGTGCCGTGACGGCTTTGTCGATGATTATGTTGCAGCAGTGGTGTTTATGTCGCTGTGATGGTGGGCATGGCGGTGGCTATCGAGCGGAAATGGCAACTGAAAAATCGCTGGCGTGATATTGTGTGTGGGTGTATTGTGTCTTTGCGTCTGTGCGTGTGGTGTTTGAGATGAGGGTGGTGGTTGTGGTAGTGGCGGCGGACGGTGACCTTCAGGCGGCGGCAGATAGCTGCCGACAAGAGTGTTAAACACTTAAACTTGAATGTGTGTTCTATGTGTGTAAGAAAGAATTGTAGATAGTGAAAGAAATAAGGATAAATCTGTACCACAGGATCCGTCATATCAATGGCTAAGATGAAGTTAAAATATAGTCAATCATTAATGGCAATCCAGTAATTATCTAATCATATTATGGTCAAACATGTGCATTTGACAATAATTAAGGATAATATGGACATTTAATTCAAACCTAACAACAAGTGGGACCCACCACCACCACATTAATACCACCACTAATACCGTACAAATCCACCTACCCCCTCCCTCATTATCTTACACACACACACACATGCACTGTGAAGTGCCAGACAGCCAAGAGCCGCCGCACACGCCGCCTCACTCGCCACACGCCAGCGACCAACTCACCTCTCGACATCACTGACCTCCACCGGACACATCGCTCTCTATCTCACTGTTACTATGGCACCACCTCGCTGGAAAATCGAGTCGGATTTACATCACCTTCGATGGTCGTCGTCTCTACCAACACATACGTTGTCTCTCTGCCAGATCCCCAACAACTCAGCACAGATCCGCCGAGGATGTCGTCTCTGCCGCAATCGGTCACAAAAGCACGGAACAGCTCCGCCGGCGTTCCTCCACCACAACTAGTCCCCAATAGTCCGGCAGAGTTCCGCCGTCTCCTGCGCTCAGTCGTATCTGGCATAGAAGACCGCCGTCGATCCATTGGACGCAGTCAGGTGGCCGCAACTCGAGAAAGTCCGCTGGGAATGGTCGGAGAATGAGTAGCCGACGGGACCTCTGCAAATCTGCCGTCGACATAACACCGGAGCGACGAAGATGTGTCATCTGACGGCAAGGCGATTCGGCGGCTCGTACGGCAGGGGGACGACTGTAAAGTGTATGTGTATTGGGGTTGTTATGTTGGGATTTTTATAACATATAAGGACCCAATTGCAATTGTAAAATTATTAATTTATTACAATTAAGTTCATGAGTCATATTTGTAATTAATCAAAAAAATTATTTTGGATGGTTTTTGTAATGTCTCTTTTATTTATGAATAATTTTGGGATTATTTATTATTATTATTATTATTAGTAAATGTCTAATTGTCATTAATTGCCTAAATGTTTATTAATATTAATTAAATTAATGTGTGTAAAATATATATTGTTACCCGATTTTATTTTTAATTGTCGTGCGATCGAACCGAGCTATTTTTATTGGCTAAGTCGAGCCCGAGAGCCAAACCGTATGCCGCGCGCCCCGTCGTTTTAAATCGGTTAACCCGACCCGGTTTTCTTCCCTTTCTTGTGTGTGTGTGTGTCTTGTGTGCCAAGACATTAAAAACCTTGTCTATTAATTTTGGCTCCTTCTCGAAAAACTTTCCCATCTCACTCACTGAAACCCGATCTGCCACCATCTCCCTCAAGCTCTTTCTCTTCAACTCCGTTCGCCGCCCCTTCCGCTGTCGCGCCACCACCCGATGTGAGCCAGCAGGCCCTCCTCCGCCGCTGAAGTCGAGACGTCGTCGCTGTCCGTGTGAAGACCCGACGACCTCTCCTCTCCGAGCCTGCAACTCCGGCGAGCGACCATTGCCGTTGCTCCTCCGCGAACCCTTGTCGTGAGCCAGCGCGTAGCCACCGAGCGCCGCCGTACGTACCGTCATCCCCGTTCGCCTCGTCTGTCCCGTTTTCGAGCATCTTTCCCAAGAACGGTATCGACGGCTTAAACTTCAAATCGTTACGTTCGTTTTATGTTGTTATGTTATGTGAAATTTATGTGCTTTGTTAATACGAATATATTTGGCTTTATTTTAAATTGATGTATGTAGTAGTCTCTTTTTTGTGAAAAACGTGAAATTGCTGTGGATTATAGAACTTAGGGATGTCTTTGACACAATGGTTTTGACCTTGTGTCAATTTGAATTTTAGATTGAGTGCTGCTGGAATTTGTAAAATACACGATAATTCGAGCTGTTGCACAAAAATTCTAATTTTTGGATATGTTCCTCTCTGTGATATATATGTATGTGGTAAAAATTTGGGATTTTAATTCGGTGTTTTTCCTGTTCAAATGTCGATTTTGATTTCTGGTCAGAAACATAGAAAAATCATAATAAATTGAGTTATGCTCCAAAATTGCTGATATTTGAATATGTTATTCCTCTATTATGTGTGGTCGTTGTGTAAACATTTAGAATTTTTAGACTCCATTTGTTGGGGTAACTAATTAATTGAGATTTTCTGCTGAACCTTTTATGAATTATGAAAAATCGAATCCTTGCTGTAAATTGCTGAATTTTGATATATAAACTCATTTTATGATGTGATGCGTGATGTAAAAAGTTCAGATTTAATTGGATTCATTTTTATGTGTTTTTGTTGAAAATATGAATTCTGCTGAATCTGGTAATAAATCCTATAAATCGTGTGTGTAATGTTTAAGGCTGAAAATTTTATATGTTGATTCTCACAAGCTGTAGTTGGTTGTGTATAAATTTCAAGGATTGAATCGTTCATTAGGTCAGATTATGAATATATGCTCGATTTTGCTGAAATCTTGTTTGAATTTTATAAAATTGGATATTTTGAGTTAAGGGCTAAAACTTGGTGGTCTTGCTATGTTCAGTGATGTGAATTTTTTGTTAAAATTTCAGAGGCTAACTCGTTCATTTTCCTGATCAACTAGAATAGGTGATGTGTTCGTAAAATATTGTTAACAATTAGCCTATTTTGACTAAGTCTGAAAGTTGAGTAATTTGGTAAACATGCTAATTGTCTCGGCTATCCTTTATTTGAAATTATGTGTTTTCCCATGTTTGTGTTGGTCGAGTCTAAGGGCTAAGTCCAAGAGTTCCAATGTCTACAGGACTTCACGCACGACTTAGTCGAATCAAGTTCGACTAAGTATGATTTGTGTTTTTCCTTCTAGGTCAGGATAGGTGTTGATTGTAGTATCTTGACTTATTGTAGGTGTTTGAGGAGTCGAGCCTCGACCTACGTCTCTACCTGTTGTGTTTTTGCTTTCCCGAGGTACCAGGTGGGTTAGTTATTCTAAAATGTCTATGCATGTGTGTTTTAAATGTGTTGAATTGGTATGATCTATGTATGCATGTGAGCATGTAGCCTATTGATGTGAGTTGTTACGGCCGTCGGTACAGTTGTCCCCGTCGAGTTACGGTACGGTGCCCTTGTGTGGCAATCTCCTTAAGTCCTGATATGGTGGTGCCCTTGTGAGGTACGTAAGCCCATATGGAAGGTCGTGTCTGTAGCGTGACACGTACTCCCGCCTTTGGGTAATGAACCCCCGTTCTGCGGCTAGCGATAGATGTGCACATGAGTAATGTGAATTGGTGTGATATTGTATAGGAGATGAGACATGATGTTGTTATTGTTTATATTCATGCTGCGACCGTACCATCCTAACACATTATATATTGTTCATATGCATAGTGGTGAGCACTATATTTTCCTTTTGTGCTCACTCCCACCTGCTTTTCACAGATGCAGGTTAAGCAGGTGGCGGATGACGAAGCAATACGAGTGGGTGGTCTTTAATTATTTATTATTATTATTGCTTCCGCAGTTATAAACTTTATGTTTGAGATTATTGGATATGTTGGTTGATTTCAAATTTGATTTTGAAAATGTTGGATTGGTTTGTTTGAAACCCTTCTATTTGGATATTCATAAGTATGTGTTTAATTGGATATCATGTTGCTTTCATTTATTCATGTTGTTCTATTTGAGCTGAATAACATGTGAGTTATGTTGTGAATCGGGTTAATGAAAACCTTACGAAAACCGGGTTTATGAATCCCCGTGGGTCCAGATAAGACTTGGACTTAGTAAATGTTATGAGTAATGCCCATAATTTCGAAAATGATATCGAAAAATATTTTACTAATTTTTGGAAAGTCTGGAATTTATTTAAAATCAAAGTATGGCGTTACAGTTTTGATCGTTATTGTGCAATCTAACAGTCGTTTATGTGCAACGTGTCTAACAATATTGTGTAATACCAATACGTAAAAATTTATAATAATAATAATAATAATAATAATAATAATAATAATAATAATAATAATAATAATAATTTTCGGTTGGTTCGATTATTTCGTTATATTAAAAACCAATGCAAACATCGAACATCAATAAAGTGCAATTCTAAAATTGTAGTTATATCGGTTTATGACTATATTGTGCAATATGGTAGTCGTTACAGTGCAATTTATATAACATTAGTGTGTACTTGCTCACATGCATTTTTTAATTGTTTGTCCCAAATCAAAATAAAACTGATATGGAATAATCAGTTTATTTGATTAACTAATCGAATTTTCCTAATTAATGTAAAGATTTATGATTCATTATTATGAAAAATATATTTAGTATTTTAATATTTATATTTAATATTTTACATTATTAGTGTTTGGAAAGATATGATAATAGAATAGCGAAAGCAATAAAGTGCACTACCGTAGACAATAAAGTGCAATCCGGTAGACAATAACGTGCATTACAAATAACAATATTATGTAGTCTATTGATTATTTTTTTTAATGTGCATTCAACTTTAGAAACTTTAATAATGTGTTTTAATTAACATTATTTTGCATTTATCAAATAACTTATATAAGACAAAATATACTTAATAAATATATATTTTGTTCCATATTTTATATTATAGTTTGCTGAAAAATAAATAATGGTGTTTTGTATTTAATTAATTTATTTTAAAATTAAGTCAAAAACGAATTGAAATAATCAAAATTTTAATATATGTGAAAACACACACTTTTTATGCTATTGTGCATTCACAAACGCAATAATGTGCAATCGGTATAACATTAATGTGCAATACTATAATCTTTTTTTTTTTTCTTCGGAACGATAGAAGATTTATAAACTCAAAGGGAACATTGTTCAGTACAAACGAGGCCATCAGCCTAATAGATAACACAAAGCCGAAAATGAAAACTGG